TAGATAGATAGATAGATAGATAGATAGATAGATAGATAGATAGATAGATAGATAGATAGATAGATAGATAGATAGATAGATAGATAGATAGATAGGTAGATAGATCTAGATCTGGTCATAAAAACATAATATCAAAAAAATGCCATAAATAGTTTTTAATTCTCAAACATTTTATGAAATAAACTCAAATACCAGGTCTCCTCAGCACACTTGCAAATAGTTTTTGATGAGTGGCAGTTAGGCTGTTCAACATCTTGAAGAACTTTTCTTCTTGTCAGCCTCTTCGGTCTCTTCGTGTGATCTCTCACTGGCTCTATGAAGCTGAGAACAGATTGGTTCGCCACTGGTAGGATGCTCGGGTTCGTTGCCATGGGCCACAGGTTTAGTGGCAAAATGTTTGCGACCCATGTGTAGCAGGGATTAGTTATCGGCTGTTAGACACTTAAGCCTAACATGTCTTATTTCACAAATCTTAACATGGATTCAGTTGTTCTTCTTCACATTAATCTACACAAAGTCCTCAGCAAAGACAAATCTGTGGATTTATTAGCAGTAGGCTGTTAAATGTTAAATAGGGTCCTTTAAATTCAGTGCAAGTTTGCTTGATTTTGTTTTGATAGTTTACAGATCTAAGTTTCCACTGTTTCCTTTCTCCATTTACAGCAGAGTTACAGAGGCTCCATATGACCCTGAGACTGCCAAGCTCAGAGGATGCTCCTCATCCTCTACATTAGGAACCACAGAGATGTTCCAAACATTCACACATGTCTGCTGGTGGGTTTAGACGACGCCAAACTGAGCCAGGTCGCTCAGCTCCATGTCACCAAAGGCCTCCCAGGGACAGACCACTGCAGAGTCTGCAAGGTAAGAAAAATAAAAGCCAAGCATAAGATTTAAACATAAAACAGCTTCATAATAAACATAATAATCACACTCACCTCCAGGCTCCTCCATCCCTGGGACATCATTGTCAAAGCTATTGGAAAGGCAGATGGAAAGTATTCAAAGAAAGTACAAGAAACTGATGTATAAGTGAAATAATTACTCAACTCACCCCTTCTGCCCAGGTTTGGGAGCTTTGCTCTTAAACTGCCGAGATCCCTTCTGCTTGAACTTCGGAGGAGCAGGCTTGGAGCCCTCCGCTGGCTCGGCTGCTGTTGCATTCATCTTTAAAAAGTTCAAACACGAAAATAGTTTTATCTCTTTTTTTACGACTTCTGTATGCTAATAGTCTTTATTCCAAAACTAAAGTCAAAGGTCAGCTATGACACATGATCGTGAATCAGCATGCAGCACCCAGGGATCAAAACGTGCCATCAAGTAAAACCTGTTTCAATTTTCAAAGGTGAGACTGAGCACGTTTAGCTCCTGATCCGGCCTCATCGCTCCCTCATACTTACATAAATGGCACAATAAACACAGAGGATTGTTTTCCACCCTCACATCAGTCATTTAATTCACGAGGAACCTTCTGTACCTACTGGCAGTGACCAGCTTGGACAACAGAGCACTTTCCAGCCTAATGATATCTCCAAATCAAACACCATAGCAGGTCCCTCCACCGTTCAGTAAATCTGTGACTTGTAGCCACAGCATGTCAGTATCAGCAATGCTGCTGCACTGCCTTTCAGATATTTATACGACGATGTGTAGAGTATAACTGGACTATCATTCACTGTTCTTTAAGTCGTTGCATGAAGTCTTGTTCTGAATTTTTAACACTTTCAAGAGTTATTTTACATCAACGCGAGGATTTATGAGTGTAATCTGAAGTTACATTTTAACACATCTAAAAGAATAAACGCCCACTCTTCTACACACAGTTAAACCAGGAAAAGCTTTGTTAAAAAGTACTTTCATAGAAAGGTTTTTGCTACAGTGCGTGCTCATGTTTGCTGCCAGCTCTTACCCTGTTTCAGAAGAAGAAAGAAGTGCGGTCTCAGTCATGCAGCCACTCTCCTCACAGCATTTATATACTGGCTGTGCTCATAACAAAGCTGTAAATAGAGCTGCGATGGTTTTTTTGAAGGATAATCTCATAATCCTGAGCCGTGTGTACCTGTGCTGCAATGCCCACTGTCCATGCCAAAACCTTCTGTGGGTGTTCACTAAACAGGAAGCATTTCGGGTCATCATGAACTAAGGGCTCATCGGTTGTGTTTGTGGAAGGAGGACAAATCTGCACAGGATGCTGGATAAATAAACCCAAAGAACAACACATCTGTTTAAGGCATGGGGCCACAGGGCAAAACGTTCACTCTTAATCAGTGTGCTGCTTATCATCATTAGACTGAAATGCTCAGAGAAAGCAAAATGAGCTAACACCTGAAAACAAAATCGGGTTAGCCTCCATTCCCAGAGGGTCTGTGACGATCAATTATTCTGTTAATGAAGCGAGTCAGACTCTGTTCTGCTCTTCAACCTCATTGAAAACTGAAATCACACTAGTATGCATCATCATAACCCTAAATACTTGAACATTACGCAACACAAATGAGATATTTCAGAGCCGTTTAGCTCACTCGTTATTTTCAACCAAAACCCTCAATTTCTTTTGTGTTGTTTGTTTTTTCAGAAGCCCATCGAGGGTCCTCAGGCAGCAGGGCCATGTGAGGACTGCAGGGACACTCGCAGCATATG